CAGGTGAAGGGACGAGACTGTCTGGAGGACAGCGCTGGAGTGAAAAAGCCATGCTCAGATCGCGACCTTAAGCTGTGTGAGAAGAAACAAAGCGCCTTGACAAAGGAATTAGCATAGAATTTAGCATTGAAATGGCTGAGTGATTAGCTTGTGACTGGTCACAGAAATGGCTATGTTAAAGTTAAAGCATACACATCCGCAGAGGCACCCCTTGACAAAGGAATTAGCATAGAATTTAGCATTGAAATAGCTGAGTGATTAGCTTGTAACTGGTCACAGAAATAGCTATGTTAAATTCAGAGCATACACATTCACAGAGGCACCTAGTACAAATCAAACAGGAGAATTTAGCATTGAAATAACTAGGCGAATTTAGCATTGTGACTGGTCACAGAAATGGCTATGTTGAAGTCACGGCCTACACATCTGAGCTATTCACAGTAACTGGGTATACACTACAATATATAATGAATACTATATAGTGAACCAATAAAAAAACTAAAATTTAAATTACCTCAATGTAATCAATAAACTCTATATATTCTCCAATCGGCTAATCTACCAACAATAAGTCGTTATATATCACAATGCTATATGGTGAAAAAATGGGTGGATTCTTACCCTCAACTTTAACAACACGGATAGCTACGGGCCCCGTTCAGACGGACGAGTTCATCCATGGTCGGAACACAGGAGGGGAGAGAGACAGCTGCGAGGCGCTGTTATACTCCATGTTGTAAATCATACCATTAACCGTGGTGTGAGAGGTATTAAGAGTCAATGCCAGCGAAAGAGCTGCGGTCTGAAGGTCATCGTAAAATACAATTAATTAAGAACGGAAATGGTTTAAAACATCTTTCCAATGGTTACTAAGCCGGAATCCATCTACTCGGTTGAAATTGTCTCTGTGCTTGTATATGTGAATGGCCTCATGAACGAATCTCTCATGGAAGCCGGTTGGTTTGCAAAGAACCTCCGTCTTGGAGAAGTCAATGTCATGTGAGCCCACTGAATTATAACAGTGATCTGCCACGGCAGAGGAGTTCGTTCTACCGTATTTCAAGTCTGCTTTATGTTCGCGGATTCGGTCCGAGATATATCGTTTGGTTTCTCCAATGTAGATACTACCACAGATGCACTTTAGTTTGTAAACGCCCGGGTACTGTATGTCTGGAACAGCATCTTTTACAGATGGAACTAGATCACGGATTTTATGTACTGTGTTGAATCGGACCTGGATCTTGTGTTTATTCAGGATTTTGGAGATCTATTTAGTGACCCCTGCAATGTAGGGTAAGGTGATGGTTTTGAGTGGCTCGACAAGAGGATCCTTCTTCATGACTGGAGTGATGGCTTTGCGGATTGTGTAGTCGGAGTAACCATTAGCCATTAGCCATGAGAGCCTGGTGTACGTGCTTGAGTTCACTGGTAATGTAATTGTACTAGGTGCCTCTGTGAATGTGTATGCTCTGACTTTAACATAGCTATTTCTGTGACCAGTTACAAGCTAATCACTCAGCTATTTCAATGCTAAATTCTATGCTAATTCCTTTGTCAAGGCGCTTTGTTTCTTCTCACACAGCTTAAAGGTCGCAATCTGAGCGTGGCTTTTTCACTCCAGCGCTGTCCTCCAGACAGTCTCGTCCCTTCACCTGATGAAGGCCGCTTGTGTTGTGGCCGAAACGTCGTGAGAATATTATTGTGTTATTTTATTTTATCAATTCATTATTTTATTCTCATTCTACGTGACTTTACCGAAAGAACCAAAGAAGATGAATCCATGCAGTCACGAAAGCTTTAAATCGAAACTTAACCACAACCACATATTTAAAAGTTGTATTTTCAAATAATCAACGTTAGAAAAGATTCAACATCAGAATCTCACAATTGTATATATTAAAGCTTGACATTTTTTTCAGTGTACATTTCTTGAATCCACAGAGACAGCCATTCGCCTGGTGGGAGGAGGAGGCGCATGTCAAGGCAGAGTGGAGGTCCTCTATAATGGCTCCTGGGGCACGGTCTGTGATGATTTCTGGGACATCAATGATGCTCAGGTTGTCTGCCGAAAGGTCGGCTGCGGAGCTGCTTTTTCTGCCGTATCAAATGCCTACTTTGGTCAGGGCATTGGCACCATCTGGCTGGATGATGTCAGATGCAATGGTTCTGAATCCTTTCTGGGGCCATGTTCTCATCGCCCATGGGGCCAGCATGACTGCAGCCACAGTGAAGATGCTAGTGTCATTTGCAGCGGTGTGTACATCTCAAAATATGTTTTAATAAAAGTTCCAAATGTTCTTTTTCTAATATTAGATGGTAATAATTTGCTGTATATTATATGAATGACAAAATGTTCACTCAGTATATTGACTTTTGTCGGTCAATTCAATACCAATTTAACATGAGACATCTTCATTGGATACAGCTCAAACAAGTACATCAACCGCTACGACGCAGCCAACAACTCAAGCCCCTGGTGAGTAAAAATTTGTCAACAAATTCATACCTTATTGAAATAAAAAGTTGATTGTAAATGGGGGTCTATGTAATAACTAAACCACAACCACATATTTAAAAGGTTGTATTTTCAAATAATCAACGTTAGAAAAGATTAAACATCAGGATCTCACAATGGTATATATTAAAGCTTGACAATTTATTCAGTGTTCATTTCTTGAATCCACAGAGACAGCCATTCGCCTGGTTGGAGGAGTAGGCCCATGTCAAGGCAGAGTGGAAGTCCTTTATTCTGGGTCCTGGGGCACGGTCTGTGATGATTACTGGAACATCAATGATGCCCGGGTTGTCTGCCGAAACGTCGGCTGTGGAGCTGCTCTTTCTGCCCAATCAAATGCCTACTTTGGTCAGGGCAATGGCACCATCTGGCTGGATGATGTGACATGCAATGGGTCGGAATCCTCTTTAGGAAATTGTCCTCACCTGCCATGGGGGCAACACAACTGCGTTCATGCTGAAGATGCTGGTGTCATTTGCAGTGGTGGGTACATCTCAAAATATGTTTAGTTAAAACTTCAAGCGCTAATATGCATCTAATATACAGAAGGCAATATTACAATGCTAGAGTTTATGATAAATATTACTGCATATGTATGAATTGCACTGTCTATACCTCAGCTAATGGGAAACCCGTTTTAAAATTTGCTTCATTGATGACAGTTCTAAAAGCAGATCACCCACTACAAGGCAGCTGAAAACTCAACCTATTGGCGAGATGGCATTTGTCAGTAAATCTATGTGCATATTCATCATTTTTTTAAATCAAAAGTTGGTTGTAATTCGAAGTATATGTAATATTCGTAACAAAAACCACCCATGTAACATCATTGGTAGCAGAATTTTTGTTTATCATTGTCAACATCATCCAAAATAATTTAATAATTTATGGCTATTCTCAATCCACTATTGGATAACGGCTTTCCTTTGCCATGTCACTTATTGGGTTATTTGACAATCCATTAACATATTTTTTTCATTTTGGTGAAGTTCTTATTCACCTATAATTATCAATAGTGTCTGTGTTCATAATGGTTATTGCTACTTTAATATAACTATGAAATGTATGCAATGTAAAGTCCTTCTTTTTCATTGCAAAATCCAGTGAAAGGACCATATAAAAAAGTAACGATGATGAGTTACGAATCACCATTCTGGTTATTATCTTTAATGGTATATGATGCAATATTATACATACAACGCAGAATACAGCAGGAATCCAATAATCCGCGTTGGTTTGGGGGGAAATAATTGCAGATCTTGTCATCAGTTCCCCACCAACATTTAAAGAAAATGTTTTCGCGCCAATGCGGTGTGATGTGGATTGTGTGATGAAAGAGCCACGTGATTCCACTAAACTCAAAAGAAAATATGGATTACATTGCAAGCACATTGCATGGCTAGCAGCTCCATTAATCTTCAGTTGATTTGTGGGTTGCAACTTTTTCTAAGACCCAACTGGTGCAACTCTATCATGAGTGTATGTTATAGATTTATTCGCATTTTCTAGATTTCTTATCCAAGACCAATAAATGCAAACAAATATTTTCTCCTAAAAAAAATCACATTAGCACGGCTAGTTTATGTGTTATCATGACGTAATCTAAACATCCATAAAATGGTGTCAAAATATTTGGGGTTTAAATGTTTGTTTGAAATTGAATCAAATTGTGCCATGGTTGGCTACGTACATTCCGCAAAGAAGTCCAACGTACATCGATTTCTAAACAATTACTTTTCTGCATTCTGTTCACTCCACAGATCCAACCATTCGCCTGGTTGGAGGAGGAGGGCCATGTCAAGGCAGAGTGGAGGTCCTCTTTGATGGTTCCTGGGGCACGGTCTGTGATGATTCCTGGGATATTAACGATGCCCAGGTCGTCTGTCGCATGGTCGGCTGTGGGGCTGCTATTTCTGCCCCACAAGTTGCCTACTTTGGTCAGGGCAATGGCCCCATATGGCTGGATGATGTCAGTTGCACTGGTTCTGAATCCATCCTGGGATCATGTTCTCATCGCCCATGGGGGCAGCATGACTGCAGCCACATTGAAGATGCAAGTGTCATTTGCAGCGGTGTGTACATCTCAAAATATGTTTTAATAAAAGTTCCAAATGTTATTTTTCTCATATAAAATGGTAATGTTTTGCTGTATATTATATAAATTACAAAATGTTCATTCAGTATATTGACTTTTGTCGGTCAATTCAATACCACTTTTAACATGAGACATCTTCATTGGTTACAGCTCAAACAAGTACATCAACCGCTACGACGCAGCCAACAACTCAACACCCTGGTGAGTATAACTTTGTCAATCAATGTAGATGCATATTCATCCCTTCTTGAAATCAAAAGTTGGTTGTAAATAGGGGTCAATGTAATAAATTATCCACAACCATATTTTTTAAAGTTTGTATTTTCACAATGTTAGGAAAGATTAAACATCAGGATCTCACAATGGTATATATTTAAGCTTGACAATTTTATCAGTGTACATTTCTTGAATCCACAGAGACAGCCATTCGCCTGGTTGGAGGAGGAGGCCCATGTCAAGGCAGAGTGGAGGTCCTCTATTCTGACTCCTGGGGCACGGTCTGTGATGATTTCTGGGACATCAATGATGCCCAGGTTGTCTGCCGAAAGGTCGGCTGTGGAGCTGCTCTTTCTGCCCCATCAAATGCCTACTTTGGTCAGGGCATTGGCACCATCTGGCTGGATGATGTCAGATGCAATGGTTCTGAATCCTTTCTGGGGCCATGTTCTCATCGCCCATGGGGCCAGCATGACTGTAGCCACAGTGAAGATGCTAGTGTCATTTGCAGCGGTGTGTACATCTCAAAATATGTTTTAATAAAAGTTCCAAATGTTCTTTTTCTAATATTAGATGGTAATACTTTGCTGTATATTATATGAATGACAAAATGTTCACTCAGTATATTGACTTTTGTCGGTCAATTCAATACCAATTTAACATGAGACATCTTCATTGGATACAGCTCAAACAAGTACATCAACCGCTACGACGCAGCCAACAACTCAAGCCCCTGGTGAGTAAAAATTTGTCAACAAATTCATACCTTATTGAAGTAAAAAGTTGATTGTAAATGGGGGTCTATGTAATAACTAAACCACAACCACATATTTAAAAGGTTGTATTTTCAAATAATCAACGTTAGAAAAGATTAAACATCAGGATCTCACAATGGTATATATTAAAGCTTGACAATTTATTCAGTGTTCATTTCTTGAATCCACAGAGACAGCCATTCGCCTGGTTGGAGGAGTAGGCCCATGTCAAGGCAGAGTGGAAGTCCTTTATTCTGGGTCCTGGGGCACGGTCTGTGATGATTACTGGAACATCAATGATGCCCGGGTTGTCTGCCGAAACGTCGGCTGTGGAGCTGCTCTTTCTGCCCAATCAAATGCCTACTTTGGTCAGGGCAATGGCACCATCTGGCTGGATGATGTGACATGCAATGGGTCGGAATCCTCTTTAGGAAATTGTCCTCACCTGCCATGGGGGCAACACAACTGCGTTCATGCTGAAGATGCTGGTGTCATTTGCAGTGGTGGGTACATCTCAAAATATGTTTAGTTAAAACTTCAAGCGCTAATATGCATCTAATATACAGAAGGCAATATTACAATGCTAGAGTTTATGATAAATATTATTGCATATGTATGAATTGCACTGTCTATACCTCAGCTAATGGGAAACCCGTTTTAAAATTTGCTTCATTGATGACAGTTCTAAAAGCAGATCACCCACTACAAGGCAGCTGAAAACTCAACCTATTGGCGAGATGGCATTTGTCAGTAAATCTATGTGCATATTCATCATTTTTTTAAATCAAAAGTTGGTTGTAATTCGAAGTATATGTAATATTCGTAACAAAAACCACCCATGTAACATCATTGGTAGCAGAATTTTTGTTTATCATTGTCAACATCATCCAAAATAATTTAATAATTTATGGCTATTCTCAATCCACTATTGGATAACGGCTTTCCTTTGCCATGTCACTTATTGGGTTATTTGACAATCCATTAACATATTTTTTTCATTTTGGTGAAGTTCTTATTCACCTATAATTATCAATAGTGTCTGTGTTCATAATAGTTATTGCTACTTTAATATAACTATGAAATGTATGCAATGTAAAGTCCTTCTTTTTCATTGCAAAATCCAGTGAAAGGACCATATAAAAAAGTAACGATGATGAGTTATGAATCACCATTCTGGTTATTATCTTTAATGGTATATGATGCAATATTATACATACAACGCAGAATACAGCAGGAATCCAATAATCCGCGTTGGTTTGGGGGGAAATAATTGCAGATCTTGTCATCAGTTCCCCACCAACATTTAAAGAAAATGTTTTCGCGCCAATGCGGTGTGATGTGGATTGTGTGATGAAAGAGCCACGTGATTCCACTAAACTCAAAAGAAAATATGGATTACATTGCAAGCACATTGCATGGCTAGCAGCTCCATTAATCTTCAGTTGATTTGTGGGTTGCAACTTTTTCTAAGACCCAACTGGTGCAACTCTATCATGAGTGTATGTTATAGATTTATTCGCATTTTCTAGATTTCTTATCCAAGACCAATAAATGCAAACAAATATTTTCTCCTAAAAAAAATCACATCAGCACGGCTAGTTTATGTGTTATCATGACGTAATCTAAACATCCATAAAATGGTGTCAAAATATTTGGGGTTTAAATGTTTGTTTGAAATTGAATCAAATTGTGCCATGGTTGGCTACGTACATTCCGCAAAGAAGTCCAACGTACATCGATTTCTAAACAATTACTTTTCTGCATTCTGTTCACTCCACAGATCCAACCATTCGCCTGGTTGGAGGAGGAGGGCCATGTCAAGGCAGAGTGGAGGTCCTCTTTGATGGTTCCTGGGGCACGGTCTGTGATGATTCCTGGGATATTAACGATGCCCAGGTCGTCTGTCGCATGGTCGGCTGTGGGGCTGCTATTTCTGCCCCACAAGTTGCCTACTTTGGTCAGGGCAATGGCCCCATATGGCTGGATGATGTCAGTTGCACTGGTTCTGAATCCATCCTGGGATCATGTTCTCATCGCCCATGGGGGCAGCATGACTGCAGCCACATTGAAGATGCAAGTGTCATTTGCAGCGGTGTGTACATCTCAAAATATGTTTTTATAAAAGTTCCAAATGTTATTTTTCTCATATAAAATGGTAATGTTTTGCTGTATATTATATAAATTACAAAATGTTCATTCAGTATATTGACTTTTGTCGGTCAATTCAATACCACTTTTAACATGAGACATCTTCATTGGTTACAGCTCAAACAAGTACATCAACCGCTACGACGCAGCCAACAACTCAACACCCTGGTGAGTATAACTTTGTCAATCAATGTAGATGCATATTCATCCCTTCTTGAAATCAAAAGTTGGTTGTAAATAGGGGTCAATGTAATAAATTATCCACAACCATATTTTTTAAAGTTTGTATTTTCACAATGTTAGGAAAGATTAAACATCAGGATCTCACAATGGTATATATTTAAGCTTGACAATTTTATCAGTGTACATTTCTTGAATCCACAGAGACAGCCATTCGCCTGGTTGGAGGAGGAGGCCCATGTCAAGGCAGAGTGGAGGTCCTCTATTCTGACTCCTGGGGCACGGTCTGTGATGATTTCTGGGACATCAATGATGCCCAGGTTGTCTGCCGAAAGGTCGGCTGTGGAGCTGCTCTTTCTGCCCCATCAAATGCCTACTTTGGTCAGGGCATTGGCACCATCTGGCTGGATGATGTCAGATGCAATGGTTCTGAATCCTTTCTGGGGCCATGTTCTCATCGCCCATGGGGCCAGCATGACTGTAGCCACAGTGAAGATGCTAGTGTCATTTGCAGCGGTGTGTACATCTCAAAATATGTTTTAATAAAAGTTCCAAATGTTCTTTTTCTAATATTAGATGGTAATACTTTGCTGTATATTATATGAATGACAAAATGTTCACTCAGTATATTGACTTTTGTCGGTCAATTCAATACCAATTTAACATGAGACATCTTCATTGGATACAGCTCAAACAAGTACATCAACCGCTACGACGCAGCCAACAACTCAAGCCCCTGGTGAGTAAAAATTTGTCAACAAATTCATACCTTATTGAAGTAAAAAGTTGATTGTAAATGGGGGTCTATGTAATAACTAAACCACAACCACATATTTAAAAGGTTGTATTTTCAAATAATCAACGTTAGAAAAGATTAAACATCAGGATCTCACAATGGTATATATTAAAGCTTGACAATTTATTCAGTGTTCATTTCTTGAATCCACAGAGACAGCCATTCGCCTGGTTGGAGGAGTAGGCCCATGTCAAGGCAGAGTGGAAGTCCTTTATTCTGGGTCCTGGGGCACGGTCTGTGATGATTACTGGAACATCAATGATGCCCGGGTTGTCTGCCGAAACGTCGGCTGTGGAGCTGCTCTTTCTGCCCAATCAAATGCCTACTTTGGTCAGGGCAATGGCACCATCTGGCTGGATGATGTGACATGCAATGGGTCGGAATCCTCTTTAGGAAATTGTCCTCACCTGCCATGGGGGCAACACAACTGCGTTCATGCTGAAGATGCTGGTGTCATTTGCAGTGGTGGGTACATCTCAAAATATGTTTAGTTAAAACTTCAAGCGCTAATATGCATCTAATATACAGAAGGCAATATTACAATGCTAGAGTTTATGATAAATATTATTGCATATGTATGAATTGCACTGTCTATACCTCAGCTAATGGGAAACCCGTTTTAAAATTTGCTTCATTGATGACAGTTCTAAAAGCAGATCACCCACTACAAGGCAGCTGAAAACTCAACCTATTGGCGAGATGGCATTTGTCAGTAAATCTATGTGCATATTCATCATTTTTTTAAATCAAAAGTTGGTTGTAATTCGAAGTATATGTAATATTCGTAACAAAAACCACCCATGTAACATCATTGGTAGCAGAATTTTTGTTTATCATTGTCAACATCATCCAAAATAATTTAATAATTTATGGCTATTCTCAATCCACTATTGGATAACGGCTTTCCTTTGCCATGTCACTTATTGGGTTATTTGACAATCCATTAACATATTTTTTTCATTTTGGTGAAGTTCTTATTCACCTATAATTATCAATAGTGTCTGTGTTCATAATGGTTATTGCTACTTTAATATAACTATGAAATGTATGCAATGTAAAGTCCTTCTTTTTCATTGCAAAATCCAGTGAAAGGACCATATAAAAAAGTAACGATGATGAGTTACGAATCACCATTCTGGTTATTATCTTTAATGGTATATGATGCAATATTATACATACAACGCAGAATACAGCAGGAATCCAATAATCCGCGTTGGTTTGGGGGGAAATAATTGCAGATCTTGTCATCAGTTCCCCACCAACATTTAAAGAAAATGTTTTCACGCCAATGCGGTGTGATGTGGATTGTGTGATGAAAGAGCCACGTGATTCCACTAAACTCAAAAGAAAATATGGATTACATTGCAAGCACATTGCATGGCTAGCAGCTCCATTAATCTTCAGTTGATTTGTGGGTTGCAACTTTTTCTAAGACCCAACTGGTGCAACTCTATCATGAGTGTATGTTATAGATTTATTCGCATTTTCTAGATTTCTTATCCAAGACCAATAAATGCAAACAAATATTTTCTCCTAAAAAAAATCACATCAGCACGGCTAGTTTATGTGTTATCATGACGTAATCTAAACATCCATAAAATGGTGTCAAAATATTTGGGGTTTAAATGTTTGTTTGAAATTGAATCAAATTGTGCCATGGTTGGCTACGTACATTCCGCAAAGAAGTCCAACGTACATCGATTTCTAAACAATTACTTTTCTGCATTCTGTTCACTCCACAGATCCAACCATTCGCCTGGTTGGAGGAGGAGGGCCATGTCAAGGCAGAGTGGAGGTCCTCTTTGATGGTTCCTGGGGCACGGTCTGTGATGATTCCTGGGATATTAACGATGCCCAGGTCGTCTGTCGCATGGTCGGCTGTGGGGCTGCTATTTCTGCCCCACAAGTTGCCTACTTTGGTCAGGGCAATGGCCCCATATGGCTGGATGATGTCAGTTGCACTGGTTCTGAATCCATCCTGGGATCATGTTCTCATCGCCCATGGGGGCAGCATGACTGCAGCCACATTGAAGATGCAAGTGTCATTTGCAGCGGTGTGTACATCTCAAAATATGTTTTTATAAAAGTTCCAAATGTTATTTTTCTCATATAAAATGGTAATGTTTTGCTGTATATTATATAAATTACAAAATGTTCATTCAGTATATTGACTTTTGTCGGTCAATTCAATACCACTTTTAACATGAGACATCTTCATTGGTTACAGCTCAAACAAGTACATCAACCGCTACGACGCAGCCAACAACTCAACACCCTGGTGAGTATAACTTTGTCAATCAATGTAGATGCATATTCATCCCTTCTTGAAATCAAAAGTTGGTTGTAAATAGGGGTCAATGTAATAAATTATCCACAACCATATTTTTTAAAGTTTGTATTTTCACAATGTTAGGAAAGATTAAACATCAGGATCTCACAATGGTATATATTTAAGCTTGACAATTTTATCAGTGTACATTTCTTGAATCCACAGAGACAGCCATTCGCCTGGTTGGAGGAGGAGGCCCATGTCAAGGCAGAGTGGAGGTCCTCTATTCTGACTCCTGGGGCACGGTCTGTGATGATTTCTGGGACATCAATGATGCCCAGGTTGTCTGCCGAAAGGTCGGCTGTGGAGCTGCTCTTTCTGCCCCATCAAATGCCTACTTTGGTCAGGGCATTGGCACCATCTGGCTGGATGATGTCAGATGCAATGGTTCTGAATCCTTTCTGGGGCCATGTTCTCATCGCCCATGGGGCCAGCATGACTGTAGCCACAGTGAAGATGCTAGTGTCATTTGCAGCGGTGTGTACATCTCAAAATATGTTTTAATAAAAGTTCCAAATGTTCTTTTTCTAATATTAGATGGTAATACTTTGCTGTATATTATATGAATGACAAAATGTTCACTCAGTATATTGACTTTTGTCGGTCAATTCAATACCAATTTAACATGAGACATCTTCATTGGATACAGCTCAAACAAGTACATCAACCGCTACGATGCAGCCAACAACTCAAGCCCCTGGTGAGTAAAAATTTGTCAACAAATTCATACCTTATTGAAGTAAAAAGTTGATTGTAAATGGGGGTCTATGTAATAACTAAACCACAACCAAATATTTAAAAGGTTGTATTTTCAAATAATCAACGTTAGAAAAGATTAAACATCAGGATCTCACAATGGTATATATTAAAGCTTGACAATTTATTCAGTGTTCATTTCTTGAATCCACAGAGACAGCCATTCGCCTGGTTGGAGGAGTAGGCCCATGTCAAGGCAGAGTGGAAGTCCTTTATTCTGGGTCCTGGGGCACGGTCTGTGATGATTACTGGAACATCAATGATGCCCGGGTTGTCTGCCGAAACGTCGGCTGTGGAGCTGCTCTTTCTGCCCAATCAAATGCCTACTTTGGTCAGGGCAATGGCACCATCTGGCTGGATGATGTGACATGCAATGGGTCGGAATCCTCTTTAGGAAATTGTCCTCACCTGCCATGGGGGCAACACAACTGCGTTCATGCTGAAGATGCTGGTGTCATTTGCAGTGGTGGGTACATCTCAAAATATGTTTAGTTAAAACTTCAAGCGCTAATATGCATCTAATATACAGAAGGCAATATTACAATGCTAGAGTTTATGATAAATATTACTGCATATGTATGAATTGCACTGTCTATACCTCAGCTAATGGGAAACCCGTTTTAAAATTTGCTTCATTGATGACAGTTCTAAAAGCAGATCACCCACTACAAGGCAGCTGAAAACTCAACCTATTGGCGAGATGGCATTTGTCAGTAAATCTATGTGCATATTCATCATTTTTTTAAATCAAAAGTTGGTTGTAATTCGAAGTATATGTAATATTCGTAACAAAAACCACCCATGTAACATCATTGGTAGCAGAATTTTTGTTTATCATTGTCAACATCATCCAAAATAATTTAATAATTTATGGCTATTCTCAATCCACTATTGGATAACGGCTTTCCTTTGCCATGTCACTTATTGGGTTATTTGACAATCCATTAACATATTTTTTTCATTTTGGTGAAGTTCTTATTCACCTATAATTATCAATAGTGTCTGTGTTCATAATGGTTATTGCTACTTTAATATAACTATGAAATGTATGCAATGTAAAGTCCTTCTTTTTCATTGCAAAATCCAGTGAAAGGACCATATAAAAAAGTAACGATGATGAGTTACGAATCACCATTCTGGTTATTATCTTTAATGGTATATGATGCAATATTATACATACAACGCAGAATACAGCAGGAATCCAATAATCCGCGTTGGTTTGGGGGGAAATAATTGCAGATCTTGTCATCAGTTCCCCACCAACATTTAAAGAAAATGTTTTCGCGCCAATGCGGTGTGATGTGGATTGTGTGATGAAAGAGCCACGTGATTCCACTAAACTCAAAAGAAAATATGGATTACATTGCAAGCACATTGCATGGCTAGCAGCTCCATTAATCTTCAGTTGATTTGTGGGTTGCAACTTTTTCTAAGACCCAACTGGTGCAACTCTATCATGAGTGTATGTTATAGATTTATTCGCATTTTCTAGATTTCTTATCCAAGACCAATAAATGCAAACAAATATTTTCTCCTAAAAAAAATCACATCAGCACGGCTAGTTTATGTGTTATCATGACGTAATCTAAACATCCATAAAATGGTGTCAAAATATTTGGGGTTTAAATGTTTGTTTGAAATTGAATCAAATTGTGCCATGGTTGGCTACGTACATTCCGCAAAGAAGTCCAACGTACATCGATTTCTAAACAATTACTTTTCTGCATTCTGTTCACTCCACAGATCCAACCATTCGCCTGGTTGGAGGAGGAGGGCCATGTCAAGGCAGAGTGGAGGTCCTCTTTGATGGTTCCTGGGGCACGGTCTGTGATGATTCCTGGGATATTAACGATGCCCAGGTCGTCTGTCGCATGGTCGGCTGTGGGGCTGCTATTTCTGCCCCACAAGTTGCCTACTTTGGTCAGGGCAATGGCCCCATATGGCTGGATGATGTCAGTTGCAATGGTTCTGAATCCATCCTGGGATCATGTTCTCATCGCCCATGGGGGCAGCATGACTGCAGCCACATTGAAGATGCAAGTGTCATTTGCAGCGGTGTGTACATCTCAAAATATGTTTTAATAAAAGTTCCAAATGTTATTTTTCTCATATAAAATGGTAATGTTTTGCTGTATATTATATAAATTACAAAATGTTCATTCAGTATATTGACTTTTGTCGGTCAATTCAATACCACTTTTAACATGAGACATCTTCATTGGTTACAGCTCAAACAAGTACATCAACCGCTACGACGCAGCCAACAACTCAACACCCTGGTGAGTATAACTTTGTCAATCAATGTAGATGCATATTCATCCCTTCTTGAAATCAAAAGTTGGTTGTAAATAGGGGTCAATGTAATAAATTATCCACAACCATATTTTTTAAAGTTTGTATTTTCACAATGTTAGGAAAGATTAAACATCAGGATCTCACAATGGTATATATTTAAGCTTGACAATTTTATCAGTGTACATTTCTTGAATCCACAGAGACAGCCATTCGCCTGGTTGGAGGAGGAGGCCCATGTCAAGGCAGAGTGGAGGTCCTCTATTCTGACTCCTGGGGCACGGTCTGTGATGATTTCTGGGACATCAATGATGCCCAGGTTGTCTGCCGAAAGGTCGGCTGTGGAGCTGCTCTTTCTGCCCCATCAAATGCCTACTTTGGTCAGGGCATTGGCACCATCTGGCTGGATGATGTCAGATGCAATGGTTCTGAATCCTTTCTGGGGCCATGTTCTCATCGCCCATGGGGCCAGCATGACTGTAGCCACAGTGAAGATGCTAGTGTCATTTGCAGCGGTGTGTACATCTCAAAATATGTTTTAATAAAAGTTCCAAATGTTCTTTTTCTAATATTAGATGGTAATACTTTGCTGTATATTATATGAATGACAAAATGTTCACTCAGTATATTGACTTTTGTCGGTCAATTCAATACCCCTTTTAATATGTGAAATCTTAATTGGTTACAGCTCAAACAAGTACATCAACCGCTACGACGCAGCCAACAACTCAAGCCCCTGGTGAGTAAAAATTTGTCAACAAATTCATACCTTATTGAAGTAAAAAGTTGATTGTAAATGGGGGTCTATGTAATAACTAAACCACAACCAAATATTTAAAAGGTTGTATTTTCAAATAATCAACGTTAGAAAAGATTAAACATCAGGATCTCACAATGGTATATATTAAAGCTTGACAATTTATTCAGTGTTCATTTCTTGAATCCACAGAGACAGCCATTCGCCTGGTTGGAGGAGTAGGCCCATGTCAAGGCAGAGTGGAAGTCCTTTATTCTGGGTCCTGGGGCACGGTCTGTGATGATTACTGGAACATCAATGATGCCCAGGTTGTCTGCCGAAACGTCGGCTGTGGAGCTGCTCTTTCTGCCCAATCAAATGCTTACTTTGGTCAGGGCAATGGCACCATCTGGCTGGATGATGTGACATGCAATGGGTCGGAATCCTCTTTAGGAAATTGTCCTCACCTGCCATGGGGGCAACACAACTGTGTTCATGCTGAAGATGCTGGTGTCATTTGCAGTGGTGGGTACATCTCAAAATATGTTTAGTTAAAACTTCAAGCGCTAATATGCATCTAATATACAGAAGGCAATATTCTAGTGCTAGAGTTTATGATAAATATTACTGCATATGTATGAATTGCACTGTCTATACCTCAGCTAAAGGGAAACCCGTTTTAAAATTTGCTTCATTGATGACAGTTCTAAAAGCACATTACCCACTACAAGGCAGCTGAAAACTCAACCTATTGGCGAGATGGCATTTGTCAGTAAATCGATGTGCATATTCATTCATTATTTTTTAATCAAAACTTGGTTGTAATTCGAAGTATATGTGATATTCGTTACAAAAACCGCCCATGTAACATCATTCGTAGCAGAATTTTTGTTTATCATTGTCAACATTATCCATAATAATTTAATAATTTATGGCTTTTCTCAATCCACTACTGGATAACGGCTTTCCTTTGCCATGTCACTTATTGGGTTATTTGACAATCCATTAACATATGTTTTCATTTTGGTGAAGTTCTTATTCACCTATAATTATCAATCGTGTCTGTGTTCATAATGGTTATTGCTACTTTAATATAACTACGAAATTTATGCAATGTAAAGTCCTTCTTTTTCATTTTCATTGTAAAATCCAGTGAAAGGACCATATAAAAAAGTAACGATGATGAGATACGAATCACGATTCTGGTTATTATCTTTAATGGTTTATGATGCAAAATTATACATACAACGCAGTATACAGCAGGAATCCAATAATCCGCGTTGGTTTGGGGGGAAATAATTGCAGATCTTGTCATTAGTTCCCCACCAACATTTAAAGAAAATGTTCTCGCACCAATGCGGTGTGATGTGGATTGTGTGATGAAAGAGCCACGTGATTCTACTAAACTCAAAAGAAAATATGGATTACAGTGCAAGCACAGCGCATGGCTAGCAGCTCCATTAATCTTCAGTTGATTTGTGGGTTGCAACTTTTTCTAAGACCCAACTGGTGCAACTCTATCATGAGTGTATGTTATAGATTTATTCGCATTTTCTAGATTTCTTATCCAAGACCAATAAATGCAAACAAATATTTTCTCCTAAAAAAAATCACATCAGCACGGCTAGTTTATGTGTTATCATGACGTAATCTAAACATCCATAAAATGGTGTCAAAATATTTGGGGTTTAAATGTTTGTTTGAAATTGAATCAAATTGTGCCATGGTTGGCTACGTACATTCCGCAAAGAAGTCCAACGTACATCGATTTCTAAACAATTACTTTTCTGCATTCTGTTCACTCCACAGATCCAACCATTCGCCTGGTTGGAGGAGGAGGGCCATGTCAAGGCAGAGTGGAGGTCCTCTTTGATGGTTCCTGGGGCACGGTCTGTGATGATTCCTGGGATATTAACGATGCCCAGGTCGTCTGTCGCATGGTCGGCTGTGGGGCTGCTATTTCTGCCCCACAAGTTGCCTACTTTGGTCAGGGCAATGGCCCCATATGGCTGGATGATGTCAGTTGCACTGGTTCTGAATCCATCCTGGGATCATGTTCTCATCGCCCATGGGGGCAGCATGACTGCAGCCACATTGAAGATGCAAGTGTCATTTGCAGCGGTGTGTACATCTCAAAATATGTTTTAATAAAAGTTCCAAATGTTATTTTTCTCATATAAAATGGTAATGTTTTGCTGTATATTATATAAATTACAAAATGTTCATTCAGTATATTGACTTTTGTCGGTCAATTCAATACCACTTTTAACATGAGACATCTTCATTGGTTACAGCTCAAACAAGTACATCAACCGCTACGACGCAGCCAACAACTCAACACCCTGGTGAGTATAACTTTGTCAATCAATGTAGATGCATATTCATCCCTTCTTGAAATCAAAAGTTGGTTGTAAATAGGGGTCAATGTAATAAATTATCCACAACCATATTTTTTAAAGTTTGTATTTTCACAATGTTAGGAAAGATTAAACATCAGGATCTCACAATGGTATATATTTAAGCTTGACAATTTTATCAGTGTACATTTCTTGAATCCACAGAGACAGCCATTCGCCTGGTTGGAGGAGGAGGCCCATGTCAAGGCAGAGTGGAGGTCCTCTATTCTGACTCCTGGGGCACGGTCTGTGATGATTTCTGGGACATCAATGATGCCCAGGTTGTCTGCCGAAAGGTCGGCTGTGGAGCTGCTCTTTCTGCCCCATCAAATGCCTACTTTGGTCAGGGCATTGGCACCATCTGGCTGGATGATGTCAGATGCAATGGTTCTGAATCCTTTCTGGGGCCATGTTCTCATCGCCCATGGGGCCAGCATGACTGTAGCCACAGTGAAGATGCTAGTGTCATTTGCAGCGGTGTGTACATCTCAAAATATGTTTTAATAAAAGTTCCAAATGTTATTTTTCTAATATTAGATGGTAATACTTTGCTGTATATTATATGAATGACAAAATGTTCACTCAGTATATTGACTTTTGTCGGTCAATTCAATACCAATTTAACATGAGACATCTTCATTGGATACAGCTCAAACAAGTACATCAACCGCTACGACGCAGCCAACAACTCAAGCCCCTGGTGAGTAAAAATTTGTCAACAAATTCATACCTTATTGAAATAAAAAGTTGATTGTAAATGGGGGTCTATGTAATAACTAAACCACAACCACATATTTAAAAGGTTGTATTTTCAAATAATCAACGTTAGAAAAGATTAAACATCAGGATCTCACAATGGTATATATTAAAGCTTGACAATTTATTCAGTGTTCATTTCTTGAATCCACAGAGACAGCCATTCGCCTGGTTGGAGGAGTAGGCCCATGTCAAGGCAGAGTGGAAGTCCTTTATTCTGGGTCCTGGGGCACGGTCTGTGATGATTACTGGAACATCAATGATGCCCGGGTTGTCTGCCGAAACGTCGGCTGTGGAGCTGCTCTTTCTGCCCAATCAAATGCCTACTTTGGTCAGGGCAATGGCACCATCTGGCTGGATGATGTGACATGCAATGGGTCGGAATCCTCTTTAGGAAATTGTCCTCACCTGCCATGGGGGCAACACAACTGCGTTCATGCTGAAGATGCTGGTGTCATTTGCAGTGGTGGGTACATCTCAAAATATGTTTAGTTAAAACTTCAAGCGCTAATATGCATCTAATATACAGAAGGCAATATTACAATGCTAGAGTTTATGATAAATATTACTGCATATGTATGAATTGCACTGTCTATACCTCAGCTAATGGGAAACCCGTTTTAAAATTTGCTTCATTGATGACAGTTCTAAAAGCAGATCACCCACTACAAGGCAGCTGAAAACTCAACCTATTGGCGAGATGGCATTTGTCAGTAAATCTATGTGCATATTCATCATTTTTTTAAATCAAAAGTTGGTTGTAATTCGAAGTATATGTAATATTCGTAACAAAAACCACCCATGTAACATCATTGGTAGCAGAATTTTTGTTTATCATTGTCAACATCATCCAAAATAATTTAATAATTTATGGCTATTCTCAATCCACTATTGGATAACGGCTTTCCTTTGCCATGTCACTTATTGGGTTATTTGACAATCCATTAACATATTTTTTTCATTTTGGTGAAGTTCTTATTCACCTATAATTATCAATAGTGTCTGTGTTCATAATGGTTATTGCTACTTTAATATAACTATGAAATGTATGCAATGTAAAGTCCTTCTTTTTCATTTTCATTGCAAAATCCAGTGAAAGGACCATATAAAAAAGTAACGATGATGAGTTACGAATCACCATTCTGGTTATTATCTTTAATGGTATATGATGCAATATTATACATACAACGCAGAATACAGCAGGAATCCAATAATCCGCGTTGGTTTGGGGGGAAATAATTGCAGATCTTGTCATCAGTTCCCCACCAACATTTAAAGAAAATGTTTTCGCGCCAATGCGGTGTGATGTGGATTGTGTGATGAAAGAGCCACGTGATTCCACTAAACTCAAAAGAAAATATGGATTACATTGCAAGCACATTGCATGGCTAGCAGCTCCATTAATCTTCAGTTGATTTGTGGGTTGCAACTTTTTCTAAGACCCAACTGGTGCAACTCTATCATGAGTGTATGTTATAGATTTATTCGCATTTTCTAGATTTCTTATCCAAGACCAATAAATGCAAACAAATATTTTCTCCTAAAAAAAATCACATCAGCACGGCTAGTTTATGTGTTATCATGACGTAATCTAAACATCCATAAAATGGTGTCAAAATATTTGGGGTTTAAATGTTTGTTTGAAATTGAATCAAATTGTGCCATGGTTGGCTACGTACATTCCGCAAAGAAGTCCAACGTACATCGATTTCTAAACAATTACTTTTCTGCATTCTGTTCACTCCACAGATCCAACCATTCGCCTGGTTGGAGGAGGAGGGCCATGTCAAGGCAGAGTGGAGGTCCTCTTTGATGGTTCCTGGGGCACGGTCTGTGATGATTCCTGGGATATTAACGATGCCCAGGTCGTCTGTCGCATGGTCGGCTGTGGGGCTGCTATTTCTGCCCCACAAGTTGCCTACTTTGGTCAGGGCAATGGCCCCATATGGCTGGATGATGTCAGTTGCACTGGTTCTGAATCCATCCTGGGATCATGTTCTCATCGCCCATGGGGGCAGCATGACTGCAGCCACATTGAAGATGCAAGTGTCATTTGCAGCGGTGTGTACATCTCAAAATATGTTTTAATAAAAGTTCCAAATGTTATTTTTCTCATATAAAATGGTAATGTTTTGCTGTATATTATATAAATTACAAAATGTTCATTCAGTATATTGACTTTTGTCGGTCAATTCAATACCACTTTTAACATGAGACATCTTCATTGGTTACAGCTCAAACAAGTACATCAACCGCTACGACGCAGCCAACAACTCAACACCCTGGTGAGTATAACTTTGTCAATCAATGTAGATGCATATTCATCCCTTCTTGAAATCAAAAGTTGGTTGTAAATAGGGGTCAATGTAATAAATTATCCACAACCATATTTTTTAAAGTTTGTATTTTCACAATGTTAGGAAAGATTAAACATCAGGATCTCACAATGGTATATATTTAAGCTTGACAATTTTATCAGTGTACATTTCTTGAATCCACAGAGACAGCCATTCGCCTGGTTGGAGGAGGAGGCCCATGTCAAGGCAGAGTGGAGGTCCTCTATTCTGACTCCTGGGGCACGGTCTGTGATGATTTCTGGGACATCAATGATGCCCAGGTTGTCTGCCGAAAGGTCGGCTGTGGAGCTGCTCTTTCTGCCCCATCAAATGCCTACTTTGGTCAGGGCATTGGCACCATCTGGCTGGATGATGTCAGATGCAATGGTTCTGAATCCTTTCTGGGGCCATGTTCTCATCGCCCATGGGGCCAGCATGACTGTAGCCACAGTGAAGATGCTAGTGTCATTTGCAGCGGTGTGTACATCTCAAAATATGTTTTAATAAAAGTTCCAAATGTTCTTTTTCTAATATTAGATGGTAATACTTTGCTGTATATTATATGAATGACAAAATGTTCACTCAGTATATTGACTTTTGTCGGTCAATTCAATACCCCTTTTAATATGTGAAATCTTAATTGGTTACAGCTCAAACAAGTACATCAACCGCTACGACGCAGCCAACAACTCAAGCCCCTGGTGAGTAAAAATTTGTCAACAAATTCATACCTTATTGAAGTAAAAAGTTGATTGTAAATGGGGGTCTATGTAATAACTAAACCACAACCACATATTTAAAAGGTTGTATTTTCAAATAATCAACGTTAGAAAAGATTAAACATCAGGATCTCACAATGGTATATATTAAAGCTTGACAATTTATTCAGTGTTCATTTCTTGAATCCACAGAGACAGCCATTCGCCTGGTTGGAGGAGTAGGCCCATGTCAAGGCAGAGTGGAAGTCCTTTATTCTGGGTCCTGGGGCACGGTCTGTGATGATTACTGGAACATCAATGATGCCCAGGTTGTCTGCCGAAACGTCGGCTGTGGAGCTGCTCTTTCTGCCCAATCAAATGCTTACTTTGGTCAGGGCAATGGCACCATCTGGCTGGATGATGTGACATGCAATGGGTCGGAATCCTCTTTAGGAAATTGTCCTCACCTGCCATGGGGGCAACACAACTGTGTTCATGCTGAAGATGCTGGTGTCATTTGCAGTGGTGGGTACATCTCAAAATATGTTTAGTTAAAACTTCAAGCGCTAATATGCATCTAATATACAGAAGGCAATATTCTAGTGCTAGAGTTTATGATAAATATTACTGCATATGTATGAATTGCACTGTCTATACCTCAGCTAAAGGGAAACCCGTTTTAAAATTTGCTTCATTGATGACAGTTCTAAAAGCACATTACCCACTACAAGGCAGCTGAAAACTCAACCTATTGGCGAGATGGCATTTGTCAGTAAATCGATGTGCATATTCATTCATTATTTTTTAATCAAAACTTGGTTGTAATTCGAAGTATATGTGATATTCGTTACAAAAACCGCCCATGTAACATCATTCGTAGCAGAATTTTTGTTTATCATTGTCAACATTATCCATAATAATTTAATAATTTATGGCTATTCTCAATCCACTACTGGATAACGGCTTTCCTTTGCCATGTCACTTATTGGGTTATTTGACAATCCATTAACATATGTTTTCATTTTGGTGAAGTTCTTATTCACCTATAATTATCAATCGTGTCTGTGTTCATAATGGTTATTGCTACTTTAATATAACTACGAAATTTATGCAATGTAAAGTCCTTCTTTTTCATTTTCATTGTAAAATCCAGTGAAAGGACCATATAAAAAAGTAACGATGATGAGATACGAATCACGATTCTGGTTATTATCTTTAATGGTTTATGATGCAAAATTATACATACAACGCAGTATACAGCAGGAATCCAATAATCCGCGTTGGTTTGGGGGGAAATAATTGCAGATCTTGTCATTAGTTCCCCACCAACATTTAAAGAAAATGTTCTCGCACCAATGCGGTGTGATGTGGATTGTGTGATGAAAGAGCCACGTGATTCTACTAAACTCAAAAGAAAATATGGATTACAGTGCAAGCACAGCGCATGGCTAGCAGCTCCATTAATCTTCAGTTGATTTGTGGGTTGCAACTTTTTCTAAGACCCAACTGGTGCAACTCTATCATGATTGTATGTTATAGATTTCTTCGCATTTTCTAGATTTCTTATCCAAGACCAATAAATGCAAACAAATATTTTCTCCTAAAAACATCACATCGGCACGGCTAGTTTATGTGTTATCATGACGTAATCTAAACATCCATAAAATGGTGTCAAAATATTTGGGGTTTAAATGTTTGTTTGAAATTGAATCAAATTGTGCCATGGTTGGCTACGTACATTCCGCAAAGAAGTCCAACGTACATCGTTTTCTAAACAATTACTTTTCTGCATTCTGTTCACTCCACAGATCCAACCATTCGCCTGGTTGGAGGAGGAGGGCCATGTCAAGGCAGAGTGGAGGTCCTCTTTGATGGTTCCTGGGGCACGGTCTGTGATGATTCCTGGGATATTAACGATGCCCAGGTCGTCTGTCGCATGGTCGGCTGTGGGGCTGCTATTTCTGCCCCACAAGTTGCCTACTTTGGTCAGGGCAATGGCCCCATATGGCTGGATGATGTCAGTTGCACTGGTTCTGAATCCATCCTGGGATCATGTTCTCATCGCCCATGGGGGCAGCATGACTGCAGCCACATTGAAGATGCAAGTGTCATTTGCAGTGGTGTGTATGTTGCAAAATCTTTCACTAGAATTTAACTAAATGTTTGTACTGTGAGAAAACTTAATTTGCATGTTGTATTATTTCAGTGTCATTCAGTAATTATGGTAATCTTTTCCCCGTTTGTCAACAGCCAATCGCCGGTGCTCTACAGAGCTTAGTAATGCAAATGGAACGATTCTTTCAAGTAACTTTGGCAGCCAGTGTGGTGGGAGTACGCCTTACACGTGGATGATAACAGCATCTCCTGGCAAAGTTCTACTTCTTCAGTTTACCTTGTTGAGGTTTGTATACGATACCACCCAAATGTCACGTTTTCCTATGGCTAAAATACGATGTACATGCCCGTTCGCTTGCACATCTTGGACGCTAGTCAGGGTTGAGCCTGGTTAGCATGTGGATTGAAGGCCACCAGTGCATTCGAAATATTGTAGGTGTGGAGCTGTACGATCTCCCAAAAAATTAACTTGCGCAATGGATTGTTAAATCTATCTGTGCAGAGCTTTGAATTGAACCCTTGAATGAAAAACAGCATCCTCATGCTCAGCGATAATTTCTTGTTAATTAAATAACATTACTTGGATTCACACCGTTTTACAGTTAAGAAGAATGTACTTGTTTATTGTAAATTTTTACAATATGTTATCATTTTTTAATTCCACTGGAACTTTTCTAATAATAAATAATGAATTCCAACTTCCATTGTTAAAATGACATTTTAACAGAAAAATAGGTTCTGCATTTCACACATTGGGGCTTCAGAGCAGAAATAAGGCAGGAATATTAACTGGCTTATCGATTGATTTGTGCCTTGAAAACACTGAGAAGTTGGAAGAAAGATTATATATGAAAGGCCTGATGCATGCGAGTTTGTTTCTGTACGTTTCCATAATTCTGTCACACGGATTTGCTGAAAAATGGATTCCAACTAATTAATGTACCGTTCCAATTTTTCGACCATACATTGTACCAAATTGATGGAACCCTATGTGTGGAGCCCCATTCTACATTTTTTTTCAGAAACTATCAGTATCTGGGAGATTGCTGATAAGATTATCCATTATTCCAGAAAATGTAATCCACTAAACCACACTCACTTTGGGCCACTCCAAAATTGTGCCATAAGCAGTGGCAGAATGGTTCGGTTTTTTCTTAGAATTGGCCATCATAATTCCAAAAAGTAACATAGTGATATGAAAAATAGATAAATGAATCAAGTGATTTGTAAAAAAAAGAGGGCTTTACCTTGTCTGAAAAAATACAGGTATTAAGATGTTCATAGACATTTGAGAAAGTTTTAATTAGGAGTGAATTCAACATGAAGCACACAGCTTAAAGGACGCGACCTGGGCTTGGCTGTTTTCACTCCAACGCTGTCCTCATGACAGCACGGTCCCTTCACCTAGTGGTATCCCAAACTTTCACAGCTGCTTATTTCTCTCCACTCATTCACTCCACTCACTCCACTCACTCCAATCACTCACTCACTCCACTCACTCACTCCACTCACTCACTCTACTCACTCCACTCACTCACTCCACTCATTCATTCACGTCGTGATTTTTGTTATTTTATTTTTTACCTTCGTGACTTTACCGAATAGAACCAAAGAGTATGAAGCAAAGACTTCAACTATAATCCCAACAACCTCAGTCCTTGTCAAATATCCAACAGCTACACATGATATCTGAACTTGTCTCAGACCTCCCATAGATCAATTTGGCCTTAAATGAGCATCTGGCATGGCATGCAAACATCAGCACTGAGTCGTGGTCTCCAGTTTCTGTGCAATGCCCGCACTAGTTGGTGCTTGCTATTCGCATTTGCTTCTATAGCCTATTAGGCTAAATGGTGGATCTCTATATTCTTGGTTCTTTCGGTAAAGTCACGTTGAAGGGAAACAATAAAATAATAATATATATAAAACAATAAAATTCTCACGACGTTTCGACTGTAACGCAAACAGTCATCATCAGGTGTGAAAAACCAACGGCAAGAAACATTTGAAAGAAGTGTCACTTGGTGGATCTCTGTCTGAGCTAACGTCTGTTTGTGTTGTAGTCTATCCTGTGACTGCTTGAATGAACGTGTGGACATTTACGATGGAAACATCACAACCCCTGACACTAAATTGGCAACATTCTGTGGATCAGATGTCCCACCTGCAATCAGATCTCTCTACTCAAACATAACCTTGGTTTGGACTAAGCAACAAGTATTGGCAGGTTTGTTCCGTAACATTTTCCACATTTTTGGTACTTGATATTATTCAGTGACTGTGTAAATTATTACAATGAAAATTATGACCCCATAGGTAGGACACAATGGAATTTTTTGCATGTGAAAGCTCCACACCGACTGCTTTTTAAAATATATCAATGTACACCAGGCCTTAATGATTGACTCCCTCTCCCCCAGCAGATTAATGATTTGTCACGATCTGGGGTCAAAAGTGGAATTAAGAACCAATTTGTTTTATCCCATATTTAGTCTTGTTTGTATTGTTTATTTTTCTTATTTTTGCATAATTGTTTTGCTCAAGTAGAATAAATGCAGCATGAGTGTAATTTATATAATGTACATACATAATTTATCGATTTCAATCAATCCATTGTTACATATCCAGTTTGTACATATTCACTATTTTCATTTTCAGGTGTGTATATGTTTGCATGTTTTTTTAAATTTGTTATTCTTATTTTGCTGTCTGATTCTAGGGAGAGGGTTTCAAGTGACGTATACGTCCGTGACACCCTTGGATCCCATTCGTGGTACGCACTTTATTGCATATAATTGTAACATAATATCAGTCTGCACAGAAAATATATACAGGTGCCATTCATCTGTGGTTGTAATTCAGGTGGCAATGCAGCTCTTGTCTTCGACGAATAGAAGCTGCATGGTCAGTTTCATTATTCTAGTGTCATCCTCATAACTGAGCGTTGATGCCTATGGCAGATACTTTGAACCATTTGTGATCTTCAGCACCACACACATTGTTCCACGAACCTATCTTCTTCTTCTTCTTCCCCTTTTCGATGATAATTTATCTATGTAGAACCATACTCATTCTTTTTAAGACACTTTTATAATGTGTCCTACTTTTCCATTTGTTTAACATCCCACTTCACAGCTATTGCTGGTTGTATGCTTTTGATCTCAACATGTATTTGATGATAGCAGCTAATTTTTTCAAGGGTTATGTAAACACATGACCTGATGTCTTGTCACACTTGCTCCATGTTGATGTGTTATTGCATATCCCGCTACACTTCACACCAAAGCCTTCGTATCGTAAGTCTCACTTTTCAATTTAATTCGTTTTCATGTGTAAAATATGAAACCTTTTCCGAGATTTAGATCAATCATTTAATATTTTTTGAATTGTTAATTGTTAATGTATTTGCTGCTGACGTCACTCAATCTTTTAATTATTATTTTATTTTTCAGCATGTGGCCAGGGCTCTCTCATTCAGACTCCTTGGCTTGCCAGTCTGGTCAATGGAAACGTTACATGTGATGCAACACTCATCGGCGATAGATGGCTGATAACAGCCGCTCACTGTACCCAGAATGCCAGGTATTTTGCCCCTTTTCTGTAACTCAGAGTATGGTACACGACCATTATTATTGCACAAATTTCTCCTGTACTTTTTATTTTATATCTGTGTAACACCTAGTTTCAAATAGCAGAGTTAAAATGTCATGTACACTGTAATTATTTACTGCCCTATCCATCGGGGGTGTACTTTACCTCACATCAAACATTTTAAAGGGCATCTCCTCTGCAGTGGCAGCTGTTACTGGACACAAGGTGACTCGCCAGTTATAATCCAATTTGGTATTTAAACGTGCAAAAACTCACTTTGTCATTGGTAAGTGGCAGACAATTGCAATTTAAGACACATTTATGGAATCTATGCTTTGCAATTAGCAGAAGCCTCTGATAAATGCAGTGTCAAATGTATTCTATTTTTTTCTTGGCAAAGCTAGAAACAGACATGTGGTTCTTCAGGTGTGGTCTTTTTGGTGAATCTGTGTGGTGAGCATATCTTGTCTCAAGCTTTTTCCACGCACTACTTCGGGCATCGCCAGAAGTTGAATGCAGGTAAAGTGAAGATGTCCGCAGTAGTGCGTGGCACAAGCATTAGAGAACATGTGATCAACGCGCTGTCTGACATGGAAGACTACACTTGCATTAGGAGTGGGTGAAAACGCTTACAGTATGTGTTCTAATGCGGCGCTGTGTTGTAGCCTGCAGGTTCAAGGTTGGCAGGCTCTGCTGGGCCAGTACCCAGTCAATGGTGTCGTTCGCTTCCTACACAAGTTTGCGGTGCGGAGAATCATCGCACATGGGCAATTCTCCACATCACTCCCACAGGACTATGACTTGGCCCTGGTGGAGTTGGCACGCCGTGTACCCATTTCAGACATCGCCTCACCGGCTTGCGTCCCATCAGACAGCCCTAGTTTCCCCAGCACATCAACAACTTGCTACTTGACCTCCTACCCCGGTGAGACTTCGCTCAGTCAATGTCACCTGCAACTGAACACATACAGCACGAGAACTGCAGCGCCTGACTTGCTGGCAGGGCTTGAGATGTGCAATTGAAAGACGTTTAATTAATTTCGTGCTGTTTATGCATGCAGTTATTAATGCTCGTGTATATTTTAATATTTTTCAGCCTTTGCAAGCGGTGTTACAGTTCGCATCGTCCCACAAATAACCTGTGCATCGTCGAGCAATTATGGATCATCGGTGAATGTGAGGATGCTCTGTGCTGATGTCTCTAGTTACCCATCTGCATGTTGGGTAAGTCACATCTCAGATGCTGTTTAAACAAAATCCGTTCGCTCAGAAAACTGTGTTGTAATTGTGTTTGTAATTCTACACGCTTTGCGATTATTTCCATATCAGCATTTTATAACGATTGTTATTCCTTTTGCAGTGCTGAAAGGATGGTTCGTTAATAAAAAGTTAACTTTACGGTTTGAAAACATTCTGTATGTAGTATTCACATATTTAAATCAGTGCACGCCTTTACAATATTACACTACTTGCAGCAGCATCTCATTATGGCTCCTAGGCAAAATATGCTTTATTTTGATAAAATATTCATACATATATAAAGGTCTAATGTGATAGATATAAACGCATTCAACAATTATTTTGGAAACGCATCTACTTTGGTTGGTCAGATTATTGCAAATGGATTCACCATAATGCTCTTCATTAATGTATCTTGCCATAACTTCCCTTCTTGGCACAAAGAGCCCAACTGCTATGTAATATTGCATGCAGTGTAATACTGCATAGAGTTAAACTTCTCTCATTCATGTCGTAGAATTTCCCACTACTACTGGATGACTTCTTTTGTCTGTGCAGAAAAATGCGCACGTAGTAGGATGCACACAGCACTTCTGCGTGACTTATCGATGGATAAATGAACATTATAGATTGAATTTCCCACCACCTCATGGTGACTCATCTGCAAAGTTACACAGATGTATGTATGTTGAACTTATTTGACACCGTGCTAATCGGGGATGTGATTCGCAAATATAATTTCTCACATATCGCGCTTGTCCGCGGATAACACATTCCTGCGGAGGGAGCTGGTAGGAACGTTGGGTTGCTCGGTCAATGGCCAGGGTCAACGGCGGCACCACGTGGTGTATTCCGCAAATATGCCCGACTGTGTGGGCGGGCACAAGCCGGCGTGAGTAGGTTAAACGTTGAGTTTTATAAGGGCACCACGGGGTGACCAGCCCCTCCCCACCCAGCCCCACCCCTCCCACCCCCCACCCAGCCCCTCCCCACCCTCCCCTCCCCACCCCCACCCTCCCCTCTCCACCCAGCCCCACCCCTCCCATGTTTGGATGCACGACGCACGGACGGACACAATAATCCCCTGTGGGCTGGTGGTGTAACCAGGAGGTTCCTAACAGTAATAGGAGATGTGAGTGATAGAGCCATGGATAAGAGGAGTGTCACAGTATATATATATTTTTTGTCATGGCAGGGCAACAAAGGAGGGGCAGTCTCCTGCTTGAACACTGATGGGCGGTTGTACGTGGTGGGGCTCGCCAGCTGGGGCCGCCAGTGCTCCCAGCCAGGCACTCCAGGAGTGTTCACCTTTATCTCCAAGTACAGCACCTGGATTAGCCAGCAGCAGCAGCAGGTGTAGAACAAACATTGGTGGCATCCACCTGCGGTACTGCGCACGTAAGTATGTGCTCTAATAATAACAATTCATAATTTAAACTTGTAATGCACTGCACAATATTCACTCGCTCTTGAAGAGAGACGAGCGGTAAAGCATCCAGGCGGTGAGCTGGTGCCAAATTACCCCCCTCCCCCATACCCCCCAAGCTCTGTGGTCCTCTATGTATTGAGATGTTATTGTCAGTTCGTAAGGGTTTACACGCAGGAGGAAACTGGAGCGCCCTGAGAAAACCCACACTTTTCCAAACACATGAAACGAGTGAAGTCCAACTTTGCTGTCCGACCTTGTCCTTGTAAGCCAGGTTATGGCACCTCGATGCATATGGGAAGGAAATTTCACAATTTGTCTGATCCACCAATCCTCACCTCCATACCGCTGGTATACAGACATACATACACCATCACCAACCGCAGGGAATGAGAGCCATCACTGCAGCCAATTGCACTTTGCACTGTGAGAGCTGGCCAAACGGATTGTAGCTGGCATCGCGTATTGCCAATTAATTACTATACCCTTTGGTTCTTTCGGTAAAGTCACGTAGGTAGAAATAGAATAAAACAAATCACGACGTTTCGATCGCCACACAAGCGATCTTCATCAGGTGCGACAACCACAGCAAGAAAATGCTGAAGTCGGCGGGAGAGCTGCGGTGGCAAGAGGTTATATAGGTGAGAAAGGGGGAGGAGCAAGGGGGGAGAGAGAGGGGGGGTGTGGGGTAGGGGGAGGCCACGTGAGCGCTCGGGGAAAATGACGTGAGGCTGGGGGGGGGGGAAGTGGGCGGGGCTAGAAGTGGGAGGGTGGTGCAAGAACAGATAGAGGACGTGAGGCTGGGCGGGGGGGGGGAAGTGGGCGGGGCTAGAAGTGGGAGGGTGGTGGAAGAACAGATAGAGGACGTGAGGCTGGGCGGGGGGGGGGGTGGGGGAGTGGGCGGGGCTAGAAGTGGGAAGGTGGTGGAAGAACAGATAGAGGACGTGAGGCTGGGCGGGGGGGGGGAAGTGGGCGGGGCTAGAAGTGGGAGGGTGGTGGAAGAACAGATAGAGGACGTGAGGCTGGGGGGGAGGAAAGTGGGCGGGGCTAGCAGTACACCGGCAGGTAATGATGGAAAAAACAACAAGTTAAGGCATTGCCTGGTTGATAACATCCTTCCAATGATTGTTCAATTTGTATCCATCTTCTCGGTTGAAGTTTTGTCTATGTTCATATATCTGGATGGCTTCATGAACAAACCTTTGATAGTAGCCCGAAGGTTTGCAGAGTGCCTTGGTCTCGGAAAAAAACAATATCATGCGAGCCCACAGCGTGGAATAGTGGTGGACATTATCCATTGTTGCTGGTGATGGTGAATGCGTGCTGTCATGGACATGGAAACGCCATAATTTGAACACGAAGAGTTTGCAATGTTTTATATTTTATGTTCACCACGATATGTTATGTAGGTGTAAGTGTTTAACGTCTGAGATAGTTTATAAAGATCACGCGATAAATCACGATATTTTTGCTAATCATTGCCAGTCAATACGTGAAATGATTTAATAAGTAGACTGTAAATTGCCTGATGCTGTATTGTCCCTGAAAAAGCCGTTACTAATGTAAACAAAAAGTCGATTATGTATGTGTTAACTTGTGCATTTTAAGAAAAGGTTGATTGCAGAAGATCAGAGATCATAGCCTGCATATATTGTTGTTTCTTGATGAGGACATTTCTCTAATTTTGTTTTGTGTTGTTCCTGTAGTAATTTTCCCTCGCTTGGGGCTGTGGATCAAGTGCTCGGACAGCAAACGGAATAGCAAATAATGTGCACTCACCACTCCCTCTTACAACGAACCCCTCATCAACACTGCTTATTGTAATCACGCCAGTGTTGTACTGCACACCTCAAACTCGTTTTAGTAAGGCGTCACGTCTAAATGTTAACGATTGACACACTGATCAACTGGTCAAAGGTTTAAAGCAATACATGAATACATGATCAACCAAATTACTAAAAATATGCAATTTCAAAGTGTGCATTTAGTTTATATAATGCTGCTTATAGATCAGTTATTTGTTAAGACATGTTTGACACATAATCGACATTGACATCCTTGTTTGCGCACGATATGCTTAATTATCTAAGAATTATCTGTCATTGTCAAAACCCATTTATCCACTAACCAATTTACAAATTCCTCATCAGTGCTGTGACGGATGTAAATTATGTAATCAAATGCAGATGTTACCATTCAATTTAAAATAACTCAGTCACAATAACTCAGTCAGTATTACATTGTATAATACAATTAACCTTGAATACATGTGAGTAGCCATCTGGTTTATATTACCACTCGGCATATGATGGGCACTACGAAAGTGTCTACATATAATGTATTGTCTCCACATAGTGCGGCATATTATCACAGTAAATAATTTTACATCGGACATGATCCACTTCACTGCTACTCCATTCTAATCTTTTTCTGAGGCAATATATAACATTGCCATATGCAATTATTACTTAGATTTACGGAAATGTAGCATGTATTACTAATTAACCCAATTTAAACCTCAAAGTAATCTTGAAGTACCATATTTCACTAACTTCCTTATGCAATTCGTTTTTGTGAGGAAGTTAAGGCATCTTAAATCCTGTCAAGCATGGTATATTTTGTTCTCTTGTGTGATTTCACAATGAATATTTTCTGTCGTTCAATGCATCCAATGAATCTGAAACGTACATGTTTACTATGATTTTACGATGATTATTGGTGACAGGGATAAAAATAATATTTATTAGTTTTAAATAAATCAGTGTATTATGAATATAGAATAAAGCAATACAAAGCATTGGTGTGTGTCTTCGCGTTTGCATGGAGCAATACGAGGAAAATAATAATGGAAAAGTGAAATAGTTGTTAAATATTTAAATTCACCAAGTGAAGCATTCACCAACTCCTCCTGTAAGCACCACAACAACAGTTGCCATTTGCCACTAAGTGGCGTTGTCATTACCATGGTGTTCGTGCCAGGCGATATGCACTTTGAGGCCATGTGAAAAGTATGATCGGTTCACTGGCAGGAGGCCGTGAGACAGAAGCGGGCTTCATGCGTTCACTGAGATGACTGGCATTTGCCACAGCCCCACACTCGCCACTGCTGGCTTGCTATGATGTAACCACCAGACACGGCTAATTGCTGCGAGCATTTTATTCACACTGATATAATTTCACCTATAGAATAAAAATTTATGTTTTATGCATTAAAATATCATTTGAATACCGATTAGAAATGCAATGGCAAAAACACAATTAAAAACACAGAAGCTTTAAGCTATTTTTGTAATGAAAAACGTGTAAATGAAATTGATATAGGCTGCAAAAATATAAATATAATTGTATTAACACTCAAACTAAATACTGTAGAAATTTTAAAATTGACTTTAAATAGAGCAACACTATTATAAGTCACAATGTAAGTTAAATAATGTGTTAAATGTATGAAAAGTGTAATCAAACATACCTAAATGTGATAAACTTTTGCAACTTAGGATGGTATTGAAAGCACGTTACACCAAGTGAGCCACGGTGTATTTTTAAATACGACCTTGGTTAAGTGCTCTGTTTTGTTGAAGCAAATGTATAAACATAAAATTATCCAGCAGACTTGAATGGTTACATACCAACATGTGTTTCCTACACTGTAGTTATATTAATTTGATTGTGCTTCTGGCACATTCTTTTTTATATATCAGCACATCTTTCAATATGGCACTATATTTCGTCTGATTTATGACAGATTTCTTGGGTTAGAACAGGGGTCCACAACCCCCGGGCCACGGACTGGAACCGGTCCGTGTCGCTAGGAACCGGGCCGCACAGCAGGAGGTGAGCGGTGGGCGAACGAGCGAAGCTTCATCATCTGTTATTGACAGATGATGGAGCTTCATCATCTGTTATTGACAGCCGCTCCCCATCGCTCGCATTACCGTCTGAGCTCCGCCTCCTGTCAGATCAGCGGCGGCATTAGATTCTAATAGGAGCGCGAACCCTACTGTCAACTGCGCATGCGAGGGATCTAGGTTGCGCACTCCTTATGAGAAGTCCATTATTTTATTGACCACTTCCGTCCACGCCTCTTTCCCGCACTGCGCACTCGTCTCAGTCACAGTTTTGGTAAGCCCACAAGCTAACCCCAAATGAGAGCTTCTTTGAAAAGGGGGAAAGACCCAATGATGACCCCCCCCCCGGTCCGTGAAAAAATAGTCTTCAACGAAACCGGTCCCTGGTGCCCTGGTTAGGCAACTTAATTGTATGACCAAATCCATGCTGTTAAGTGGCTCCCACCACCTGACACAGCCAAACAAATTGCCACGTTGTCTCCAAGCATTTAACTTGCAGATGATTATTGTTTTGGCTCACCGGTAAGTTCAAAGGACAATACTCACAACCAATTTTAGCAATTTGATATGACGTTTTGTTTGAAACTATATCACTATTTAAAACTTTAAAAAAATTACCAGATAGGCTCACTGAGCTATAAGCTCTTTTTCAGAAGCGACGTGGCCACAAATAGTAGCTCAACGAAGTGGCTTACACGTGGAAATCTATAACAGCTAAATACAGTACTCTAAACGCATCATCAGGACAACATCCAGATATTCAGAGTAGCAATCCATAAAGTCAAGATAATTTTGACTTTCTTGATTGTGGTAAACATCGTTATGTGGCCTTACACAAGTAAATAAATGATCAATCGTAATATTCTATGGTTCTTTCGGTAAAGTCACGTAGATATAATAAAAAAAATAATCATACTTTTATTATTTTTTATTCACTTTATTTTCATTTTTATTATTTTATTGTTATTTTTTTTTCCTATCTACGTGACTTTACCAACAGAACTATAGAATATGAATTTCTGCAGTCACGAAAGTTTTAAGTCAAAATCAATCGAAATATTTACTGAGAAAACCCTATGCTTTAAGTATAGATTGTTTAATCTTTTATTTTAGTTTAACCTCCATGCACGGATTTGAATAAAGATATTTAAATTGAGGAGTAATTTATATACAGCCATGGAAATGTACTCTCTTAGAACAGGCCATGCTGGAAAGTCATTTCCCATTCCCTACACCATCCCCATCACCGACGTCATCTGCAGGGGGATTCTCATTTCCTTCGAGCTGCCCCTCAATGTGCATCTCTCCCAGGCGTATAGCGATCCTGTCGCTCAGGTGCAGGTAGTCCGCACGGAGTTGCTGAAGTTCCAACTCCATCATTTCCTTCTCTCGGAGTGCATCCCGAGCCAGCTCCTCCTCCTGAAGCAAAGCCTCCCTGCTTCGTTTAGCTTCAGCTTCTGCCTGCACCCTGGCTCTGTTGGTCTCAGCCACCTCTCTCCGCAGAAGCTGCTTTTCTTCTTTGAGAGCCTGCACGAGGTACCCTGTGGCCCTGAGCTCCTCACGCATACCCTGGGCACTCTTTTCCGCCATGCTCTGCCCTAGGCGGGCTTCTTCCAGTTCGGCTTGGAGTTTCTGCTCCGTGGCATTGCACCTCTGTCGTAACTCCACCAGCTCCTTCCGTGCACAATGGTTGGCCCGTTCTTTTTCCATCATTGCCGCTTCCAACTGCTCATTCTCTTCTCTCTCAGTCACCATCTATATGCGACAGTTGAACAAAACGTGCAGCACTCAAATGCAATATTATTACATTAAAAGATCAATTGACAAGTTGTCATATTCGTAATGTATATACAACCGTAGTTTTATACTCTTTGGTTCTATTGGATAAAGTCACGTAGGTGAAAATAAAATAACAAAAAATCACGACGTTTCGGCCACAACACAAGCGGCCTTCATCAGGTGAAGGGACGAGACTGTCTGGAGGACAGCGCTGGAATGGAAGAAGCCACGCTTAGATCACGACCTTTAAGCTGTGTGAGAAGAAAAAAACCACGCGCCTTGACAAAGGAATTAGCATATAATTTAGCATTGAAATGGCTCATTGAAATAGCTATTTATTTTCACCTACGTGACTTTACCCAATAGAACCAAAGAGTATGGATCCTGGCAGTCACGAAAGCTTTAAATCTAGAATCGTAGTTTTATATTTATTTGGTTTATTATTTTACTTAATAATATTGCATATGAATGATCCAATTATGAAAATTTGAATTAATTCATAACCTACATTGAACTGATCCGATGAAAATATTACAAAAGTATTAACCTCGTCGTAGAATATTATACCTACATGCGTATACGGCAATCATTTCATTCATAAAATGGACAAATTACATGTTGAAAACATAATATTTGTACAACGTAAGACTAAAAACAATGTTTGTGGTGAGTGGACGTACGGCTCAGTGACGGGCTTACCTTTGCGAGTAATTCCTTTTTTTCGGCTATGAGTTGCTGTTCCTTCTCACGCAGGTCAAGGATGTCATCGTCACTCTGGTGCAGCCGATGCCTGCAGTCTTCCAGGTCTTCCCTCAGCTGAGCCTCCATCTCCTCCAGAAGTTGCTTCTCCCGGATCAACCTGTACGCTGCCTCTGTCAGGTGCTGGCACTCCTCCCGCGATGCCTGTGCCGCTCGATTGCCCCCGTCATTCTCCTCGCGAGCCCTCTGGAAAGCATCTTGCAGTTTTTGTTTTTCTTGCTTCGTTTCTCTCAGCATCGATGACAATGACTCGTTCTCCTCCCGTCGTTTTTTTAGGCTCAGGAACAACGCGTGTTTTTCCTGCAGCGCTCGCTCGAGTGCAGCGTTCTGCACATTGAGCTGCTCCCTCGACTCTTCGTATTTCTGCGCCAACCTTCGCATGTCCCTCAAGCAGGATTTCCTTTGCTTTTCAGCTTCAGAAAGTTTTCTTAGCAGCGACATTTTGTCAGAATCTCCATTACTCTCTCCATCTTGATTCGCCATGTTTTCACTGTGCATTTTCTGACCTCGCAAAAGGAGCATATCTTTGTTATTTTCTGAAGCCACACGTAGATTGTCTCTATTGCTATAATCATTAGTGGCTCCGCTTGTGGACGCATCACTTTCCAATTCAACATCAACAGTTTGGTCGTTCATCTTTAGTTCCCCCATCTTCGAATGTGAATTAATCTCACAACCCCGTCTTGCCATTGTGGAGTCACAATTCGTTTCTGGAAGAATGTGGCTATGCGGATTCGATGTCACTGTATATTCCCATGGCCTTTCATATACCACTACGGTTTTGTTGGGACACATCTCGGAGGCGTTCATGCATGTGGCTACTCTCTTGTCCCTGAGTTCTCTATGGAGACTTGTGTTTTCGTCTTCCAAATATGAAATTGAATTTTGCAAGGCTTCCACTGTTGCTTTTAATTCTGAAACATTGTCTGGTGTTTTTCTTCCATGTGAATATTTAATTTCCCCACCTTGTTCCATATCCTCGATATTGCCATCGAAATATGAACAACTTCTGTCCGTTGATGCCTGCTCAAGATTGTGGCAGTTTTGTCTGCCTGCCAAACCTTTTCTCTCGAGGCCAGACCGTTCATTCGTAATCTTGGTATCTATTTTGCACCCCTGTCGATCATCTGCAAGCCTCGCCTTTTGCAAGTACAATTTGCCCATCGATTCATTGACACGATCTCCAGTTCTCACTCTATCGCTCAGGCTGCGTTGCAGCTCGCCTCCAGCATAAGCAAATAATTCTGGTTCATTCTCTAATATGGACATCTCCTCCAAGGCGGATGTGACACAGGTAACTTGCGTTGTAGGGGAAAATGCAACCACTTTTTTTAAACCTTTTCTCTCAAAGCTGAATCTTGATCAACATTCAGCACGTTGGAAGGTGAAAGCAAACCATACCATTGTTGTTGTCCATGCGTGGATCGGTCACGATTGCCAGTGAGATATGACGGTTCAAACATGCGATTGGGAGAATAATTTTCCTGCGTCAATAAACTTGATTGGGAAGAATGTTATTTTGTTGATTGATTTAGTTTTAAACTCGAGTGGAAGGCAATACTTCTTGAACCAGCCTGAAAAACAAATGGATGCATGTGTCTTTGTATATTGACTTAATGCTTTCGTGACTGCAGGAATTCATATTCTTTTGGTCTTTCGGTAAAGTCATGTAGATAGGTACTTATTAAAAATATATATAAATAAAAATTGTGTTTATTTCATATTCATAATTTTTATTAATTTGTACCTATCTACCTGACTTTAACGAAATACCCAAAGAATATGTCATTGTATTTTCGACAGTTAATTTGCATTACAATATCTCGGAACGGAGCGGTGGCACAGTGGTTAACACACTACGTGGTGAACTTGGCAAAACTTGAATTCCATGACTGGCCATCAGTGGCGAGTCATTTTTAATGTTTTCTGGCCTCTATTATACAAACACGCACTTGCCAGCATGTGTAGACATGGTCAAACAAACCCCCATGACTGATAGGGTGTAGGGAGGCATTCCTTCAACATTCGATTGACAACGGGCTCGAATACATTATTAATATTGTATTACTTGTTTGAGTGTGGAATATATTTTCCCAGCATACTGATGTGAAATAAAAATGTCCCAATGCTAGAACAGCTGCCTCTAGTTGGGTACAGCCATACATCTTTGCTTTATTTTCAAATAAAATAATAAAATAACAATATACTTAGTCCACATACAAATGCTCCGGAAGAAGGTGTAATGCCGAATTTAATGGCAACGTGCACGAAATGACCTACACATCACCGAGACTGCACAATAGGTCCAAACAAATGATGTAAAATGCACAACACGATTAAATGCCATCGAACACTGCTGCTGTTGTGCACCACACGTTTTTCTCGTTCCTCAGCAGTGGGCCCAGCACCTCAAACCACTCCCTGTTATTCAAAGGGAACCACAGCCCTCCTGCCTACAACAACATCAAGCAGCAGATAAGGCTCACAAGTGACGGACAACATTTGCTTTAACCAACTTTCCCCTCCAGGTCAAAGGCTTTGGAGCACTGACAGAGCCGGACCAGCGGTTCACCAACAGCTTTTATCTGCTTGGTACTTTTAAACATCATCACGAGGATTAAATAGAAACAAGTGCTTGCGGAAATATTGATACACTTTAATTTAAGTAGAGTTTACAGTGCTTAGTAAGCACCTTATCACATTTTCAATCCCTTTTATGAACTTCAGTAATTGCATCAGTCCCCCGCGTTACAGAATGTAGTAAATTATTCAGATTATTTGACAGGCATGAACTTGTGGTCAAATGTACACATTCTTCTTGTGGAGGCTGTCTGTCCATACCATGTAGGTCCTATCAATAGCGTGACATCAAATGCCACGTTTCGGCAAATATTCTCTGGGATTAATTTAGCATGTCGTTTTAAAAAAAGAATTCATCCACATTAAAAAAACGGAATCTAAATGTAGATGATAATATCCCACCTCCAACTCGAGTAGGCTAAAATAACCCCACCCCAATAGCTTGGATGGACAAACAAGCTGTGCGTGTTAACAGAATGAAACTCATAATCAAGGTTTTTGGGTCGTGTGAACATTCCTCAAGCCTTCAGCTGAATCCTGCGAGACCGATTAAATCAGTGGCACGTGCATGAGAGCGGGCAACGCTCTTCGCTTGGCTGCGACTCTTTTTTTTTTAAGTCTTTGAAAGTTTACTAACCCTCCAGACTGCTCACGCTCAAACTGTGACCACTCACAAACTATAAAAACATTTTTTTCTCTCTCTCTCTCAATGCGTGGCGCTTGCCTTTGTGTCATTGTTCTACCTTCAGAGTCTAGGCATGCAAATTGATGAGAGAGAAAAAAGCAAAGCTGCCTCTGGACACACTGTCACATTTTGATGAATAATTTCCTGAGTTTCTGCACTCGTGCTGTAGGCTTAGCAGTGGGGTATCTATAAGGCAAATGGCGCAGTTGACAGAGGCACTTGCTCAATGTGTTTCTTTTGCTGTTTCGAATGCTGTCTTCGTGATTTTATGGCGAGCACCACGTGTGTGGGCTTGCTATAATGTACGTGGACTCATTTTCACACCCATTCCTTTTAAATCCGGCGCTAGATGAACGCTTCCCCAAGGTCTGTTATTCATTGGTGTGGTTTATTAACCATGCTTCACCACGTCTGTTCCGATATTATTCGCTACAGATGCCAACCATGGGCAAAATCCTAACCAAGGTCGCCTGGTTGATAATGCAGTTTGCTAACTGCTGCACCTAAATACTCTCGCCATTGCTCCATCCCCATAAGTATATTAACATAGTAAACATATTGGTCCACTTCCCATTTAAAATATTTTCCAGCTAAGTTTGTTTATCATTCAGTAGCAGCAAGGAAACATTAAAATATGTATTGGTACAAATGGCGTTAAAAATAATCTCCACCAATGACGTAAACATTTTTTTTAGGGTTGGATGAATGTTATATGATCTATTACTGATACTAAACTGATCAATTGCCACACATTTAACTGCAATACAACTTAGGCTAGAAGAAAGATCATCATGAAATGAAACATATTAATGCAAAACAATTGTGAGATTTTCCCCATGTGTGTCCCATATGTGTACACACTTGTAGTTGGTCGGTTTTTCTCTCCCTTTGTCAGATCAATGACCCCATTATAATCCCTGAATGCGTGTTTATCCTCTGAGTCAACCGACTGAGCATTTGACAGTTATTCGTTGGTGTGAGAGGCATGGTGCAAACAAAATAAATAACAGCAATAGAAAGGAATCTATTTGTAAGGCAAACACACAGCTACACGGGAGCAGCCACCCATGTTTGACACTGTCCCACATCCCTTTGGTCCAGTGTAGGCAGCTCGTGGCATGGTTGACAATCCCAATTGTTAAAGTTAATCTATTGTTGGATTGACTACCGTGTCTTTCACTGCAACACCAGGTGTGCATGTGTAACATGTTCAACAATATACACATTAAATCCATTGCACGCAAAAAAAACTTTCCCCAAACAGACATTGTGCTCACTGCCAAAATACGAGCCAAGTTGAGTTGGTTAGATGTCGTGCCAAACATGTCAAGATAATTACTTTTGGATCTTTAATAGAAGAAAGTCTCCTAGTGTGTGAAACGCAAGCCGTTGGTTACAGTGAGCCCCAGAGTCCAGGGGGGCGAATGGAGGACCTTTGGATTTTTATAACTGTTCACCTTCCCTGTGCTCCGTTTTTTGGAATGCACGCAGTACCACCCGCAGCTGTGGAAAATGACAACAAATCTTGCCAAGGCAACCTTGGGGGCATTGTAAATACCACTCATTGTCTGAGTGAACGTATTTGTGAATAGATTTTGTTGTTGTTAATACTATTGTATTGTGTTTGTTGACAGAAGGATAATATGTGCTAGAGCTGTACAACATTATTAATATTATACTGATGAAGACACAGAGATGGGTTAACTTGTTTTTTTTGTGATAATTGAATTATTATATCATGTTTATAGTTTTATTACTGTAGATGTAATACATAACATGTAACACATAATTAATGCTTAATTTCATTGCTTGTGGTTACTATAGAATGCATACCACCAATAAAATGAAAAAATATCTTGTGCTGAATTGCGATATACGATCCTCTGAATACCGCTGCAATCAACAAAGTTAAATATACCATTTTAACATTTAAATGTCAGAAAAAACGCTAAACGAAAACATGCTAGTTTGCCTTCCCAGATTAAATTACGTGTGAAAGTAAATGTTTACCTTATGATACAACGTAAATTGCCATCCCACACTTCCAGGACGGTCAGGTATGTTCAATCAACATCAACGATCCGCATGGCGCGGGTCGACCCTCATCCAGCGGTGAATTGTCAAAAGGCGCTGCACATGACATAACACAATTAATATTTACATTATACCCACGTGCAAGTTACAAGTTGAACTCACTTATTTTTACATTTGTACCCGTTGTCAGAATGCTCCCTCGCATAGTATGAATAACCATCAAGTATTGTACACACCGTGGTAAGCTGTTGCGTAGATCATATTTACTGGTCTTTGTCAGCCTCAGCCTATCATTATACAATACTGACAATTTAATAAAGTCACGTACGTCTTACCTTTGTGCATGCAGTTCGCCAAATAGCATCAATACTTACGTTCACACGATAAACTAAATCCCTTTCACATGCACATAAAAAAATTATCCTGTGCGCTGCATGCAATGTTGTAAGCTTTAGCCATCAAACAAAACACACACATCAAAAAAATACGAAACTACGTTAAATAGGATGGGGGTGGGGGGGTGGGGGTAAATATTAGAACTATACTCACAGATATTAAGACCCTTACCTCGAGAGACTTAATATCCAAGAGTTTGGAAGAAGTGTCGCTCTTTATGCGCACGCCTGCCTTGTGAACCACAGCTTCCGACGGTGTTGCGAGCGAGAGGAGGGGGTGGGTGGGGAACTTGAGCACGCACGCCCGGTGCATTCGAAGTGGCGCGGTTGAGAGTGACAACCCCAAATAAGCTTTCACCACTGACGCCCCCAGCATTGTGTACGTGTGGCCCTGGCAACGAATTGCACGGTCCAAGACGCTCGCCCTCCCGCCGTGAGCCCGAGTCCTCAAAACCCTTCGCCTGGTGGCTTTTGGCGACCACTCGTTAAACCCAAAACCTGCAGCTGCATGCCTCGACAAATCTCAGCAGAGTAATCCTGAGAATGCTACCGATGAGAATGTGAGGAATTTGTGTTGAAATGTAATTCCCGAGATATATATAAAAAAATGTATTCGAGCCACCCACTTTTGGCTGGTATTAATATTTTCACAGAAAAGCCGTCTTGATTTGTTAAGACTTCTCGGGGTGGTCTGGTGCGGTGTGACCTTTCGCGTCATTTTCTTGACGTCATTGTTGTTTAATCAACGTGTTAACCCTGTCCTCGCCAAGTCGCTTTGCTTTGCTCACGATCGGAACTTACTTTAAAAGTAGATAAGGACCATTGGGTCACCTTTCATCTGCAAAGAGAGCAGAGATAATTCGATAGAATGGTAAAATACACAAACAAAAAAGTGCAAGATGTGTGTGTGTGTGTGGGTTTGACGGTGCACAACGGTCGATCGAGGTGCTTTGGAGGCAAGGGTTGAAGACGTGTTAAACTCTTAAACTAGCTGGGATGCAAGGTAGGCAGGAAGAGCAAGTGGGTTTATGAACGTGTCTCTTGCAAACCTTCGAATGTTATCCCTTCATGTATGTGAGTGTTCTCCAGGCATTGTGCTTTTCGATCATTCAAAACACACTGTCAAAATGAATTGACCAATTAACGTATTCCAATACCGGACCCTCATGAAAAAGTGTCTTTAAATTTAATGAAGCTATGCTGAGTAAATAGCATTAATTAGTTGGGCCCAGGATAAAAAAAATTCTGAATTTAAAAGCAGAACTGAGTGCTTTTGGAATTGTATTTTTAGAATCGTCATACCGATATGGTTAGTCCCCTCCATATATAGGCTCCCAGATGAATATGCCAGCAGTAAACATTGATGAATATCAGGGACGGAGCCAAGATTTTGACTTTGGGGGGCTGACTTCAATATTCTGAGATATCCAGTGTTTATGTTTTCCAATGGGCGCCACAAATGTATAAAAAAAATTATTGGATTTGAACGCGGAGTTTATTAATAGGTCGGAGCCGCTGATGTGGCTAATAAGTTCGATAAGTTCGAAAGGCTGCCGCTCAAGCAGCCTGCAGGGCAGCACAAAGTGGCAGCCTGCAGGGCTTCACAAGGTGGCAGCCTGCAGGGCAGCACAAGGTGGCAGCCTGCAGGGCAGCACAAGGTGGCAGCCTGCAGGGCAGCACATAAGGTGGCAGCCTGCAGGGCAGCACAAGGTGGCAGCCTGCAGGGTATCACACAAGGTGGCAGCCTGCAGGGCAGCACAAGGTGGCAGCCTGCAGGGCAGCACAAGGTGGCAGCCTGCAGGGCAGCACAAGGTGGCAGCCTGCAGGGCAGCACAAGGTGGCAGCCTGCAGGGCAGCACACAAGGTGGCAGCCTGCAGGGCAGCACAAGGTAGCAGCCTGCAGGGCAGCACACAAGGTGGCAGCCTGCAGGGCAGCACAAGGTGGCAGCCTGCAGCATTTTGCAGCAGCCGGATATCCGGTTATCCCGATTACCGACTTTCCAAAAATTGCAGGGGGGGCTGAGTCCCCCAGCCCCCCCTGTGTCTCCGCCCCTGATGAATATACTATACTGATGAGTCTTAATGAGGACAAAACCAGTCTATACCTGTGTCTTTATTTCACTGCTACCCGTCGGAATGACCTAATCTCTCAACTCTTTGAGTCGGGGGTATAAATGAGAACATGGCCACACATTCAGTTCCTTTGAGCTGGTGGTCTGGATGTTTCCGAGAGCTTTTGTAAATGCAATGCACACCTTTGTGTGTGTGTGTTTAAATATACTGAGAGATAGAAAGAGGAGCTCATGGATCAGAGATTAGGGACATTACATTGATTAAACAAAAACAAGTGGGCTTGAGCAGGAATCTGTCGCCGAAATAGATTGTAACAAACGGACAAGACTGGCAAAGGAATGACATCCAAAAATAAGGATCATGCCCGAGTTCTTAAAGACCAGCGCAGAGATGGAGCGATGAGATAAACTCCTTTGCAGGAGTGAGGTGAATCACAAAACTGACGGATGGTGATGGTGAGATACAGCAATGAATAAAACGCATCTGAATATGATGATAATATATATTGCTGAAACAGGCCTATACTGTTGTTAATGTTAGCATAAGTGTCTTCAGAGTTGATTACAATATATTAGAGTATTTACAATTGAGGAATAATGGATGATAGCATGCCTATGTAATAGCCAAAAGTATTCTACGAGGTGGATGAGAAGTTGCGATAGTTCTTAACGTCTATGTCATAAAAAGCTTTCAACACAGGGGTGTTTAGGATTTTCCAGCCCACCATGTAGAGTGTTCAAAAGAATACAACTTTCATGTATGTGTAGCTGACACACGTTCTCCCTTGCTACGGCAATGCCGCTCACGCTTCAATAAATGTTCTAATGCCAAGGAACAATCGACCACTTGAATGTTTAAGTCGAGGAAATAGATTGCAACCTTGCTACCGTGAACTGCGTGAGTTTACATGTCAGGCACACGGCCCCTGAATGCGGTTAGTGTCGAGAAGCCCTCTTGTTTATTAAAGCAGCCAATAGATGGGGCTGCAACCCAAGTTTAGTTTGTAATGCAGCATGGACTTAGGGGCCGTCCGTATATGACGTCACGCGATTTTGGACGATTTTTGACCGCCCCCCCCCCTTGAATGTATATGCTCTGACTTCAACATAGCTATTTCTGTGACCAGTTACAAGCTAATCACTCAGCTATTTCAATGCTAAATTCTATGCTAATTCCTTTGTCAAGGGGTGCCTCTGCGGATGTGTATACTTTAACTTAGCTATTTCAATGAGCCATTTCAATGCTAAATGTTATGCTAATTCCTTTGTCAAGGCGCTTTGTTTTCTTCTCACACAGCTTAAAGGTCGTGATCTAAGCGTGGCTTTTTTTCACTCCAGCGCTGTCCTCCAGACAGTCTCGTCCCTTCACCTGATGAAGGCCGCTTGTGTTGTGGCCGAAACGTCGTGATTTTTTGTTATTTTATTTTCACCTACGTGACGTTACCCAATAGAACCAAAGAGTACGCCCCCCCTTCGTCACACGGCGTCACAAAAAATCAGACCCCCCCCCTCAAATATGACGTCACAAAGCTCTGCCCCCCCTCCCCCCCCTAAAAAAAACATGCTTCAAATCGCTTTAAACTGTTGTAAATGTAGTGCGTATTTAATGCGGCGCTGCACTCTGATGGTGTAGGAGAAAACATTTATTAAAAAAGTCTATTTAGTTAAGTAGAACGTGTTGTCTATATTTATTTAAAGTTGCGCATTTTCATGTGACGTCACATTTCTCAACCCCCCCCCCCCCTCGTCACACATCGTCACACATCGTCACAAATGTCTAACCCCCCACCCTAGGTGTGTGACGTCATTTATGGACGCCCCCCTTAGTGCAGTCCTGCAAACCTGAAAGCCAGGAACTGAGTAGGGATGGAACAATTCTATCTCTCAGTGATTCCAATAATTTTTTTGCCATGCAATTAAAGAATTCCATGAATCATTTTTTACATTGCGATGAGCAGTCGTGGCTTCAAGGGTAATATGAACTCGTATCAAACTGTGCAGTGCACGAATAAGGAAACACATTGATTGGGGCATGTGTGTTGTATTTGTGTGATTCGGCGTGTTGTATTTACAATGAGTTGTGTTAAAATATTTAAAAGTACGACATTTTTGTGGTACAATCGCATAAAGTGGAATGTTTTTCTTTATTTCCATCTCATTATTTTAGTTATGATGCCTTGTAAAAAAAAAACTGGCCGTGTAACTGCATTGCTGACGCATGGTATTTACTTTAATGCTGAGCTGTAATTCTGGGCATGCATCCTCATGCTTCGAACAAGTATGCCAAACAAGTTTTAGTTGTGAAATGATTGGTCAGAAACAGGCAGACAGGCATGTATGCGCGTGTGCTTTTTTTAAGGATAACCGTGCATGGGCCTGGATTAATCCAACAGAACTGGACAGAACCAGCTGTCACATTCTTTTTATTCTTGCCATACTTGAAGATCAGTGTTTGCTAATGGTCGTCGGGGAATGTGTGCAATTGTAATGCAATTATGTAAAGTAATTTGTGTTTCATTCCATCTCCGAGGTCAGAACTAACACAAAATAAAATGACACTGAAATGAAATGTGGACATTGTTATATGTTCGATTAAATCTAGAAATGACGAGAAAAAAATGATCATAACGGAATAAAAGTGCAGGCCAGAATACCAAACGTTTTAAGCAACAGAGAAACGCGTGCAAAGCATTCAGATTTTGTTAATAGTACAGGGTGTTCCAGATGTCTTGTGATCCCAATTAATTAGCCCCTAACATGTTTTTTTCTCTGCATATTAATTTCTGTTTCAAATAAACCTTACTTAAGAAAACAACACATTACGTTTTAGAGAATGAAATGGGGTTTTAATCAATTAAATGTGGGGGGGGGGGGTTACAAGACATCTGGGCCACCCTGAAGTGGACGAAACCGGTTTACAGTTGTCGAGCTCCGTGTCACTGCTGCTGCTATCAGTCGATCTCATTTACTGAACATTATTTTAAAGGTGATTTAATACAAGACTGCAATGCACTTCTTCAGGAACTGTCGGTGGCTTTTTTTTTGCACAGTGCATTAAGGTTGTTTTACATGTTTTTGTGTGTTGCCTGAAACGAATTGCGCGTGTGCAATGTATATATGTAATCATGATCAAATATCTACAACGACATACCAGTGTCCCAATCGATTTTCACATTCAAAGTGGACCCATATATACAAAAGGGGGCCTTCTTCAAAGGTCGCATTATATATCATTACCAATGAGTAACCCCCAATTGTTGTACATCCCTATATCAATCCACTGACGCATGGATGGCTCCCGATGCCATCTCGATCGTGAGGATTGTTTGACCATAATTCACCATGTCAGTCAGTGGCGGGTTGGAGAAAGCGGGGTGTAGGACCGGTTCAGTTATCACGTGCCACTGATGTTAGCCATGGCAATTTT